TTTTCACAATGACCTTAAGGATGTGAACTTCAACTTTACTTTTATGTTCAAAGCTTAAAAATGAGTGGATGATGCCTTAAGAACTCAAAAGGTTATAAGCCACTTCATGAATTTTCACCAACTTCATAAGGTCATAACTTTCTCAATTTTTGGAGTTTTTAAGTAGTTCAAATCTAAAAATGTCATTTAAAAGATTTACTTCGTGCCATCTTTTTTGGTCAAAAGAAAAATTTTAGTGGAAGGCCATGTTTGGATGCAAAACATTATAAGTCACTTTTAATGCCAAACTTAGAAATTTTTCTAAGTGTGGAAAATCCGTGTGTTTTTGCTGATTTCAAAGATATACAATTTTTGATCCAAGACACCAAATGCAACCATTCTTTTCACATTGTAAAGATTGACAAGAGATCTCTCCAATGCTTCAAAAATCACATCATATAGTGCCCTACATTGTTGGCACCATGGCTATGAAGTTGGCATCTTGAAATTTAAGTTTCATGTTCAGTCAAATTTGAAATCAGTTTAAACCCAATTACAATCCTGTTTAAGGATCAATTCCGCGTCTAATCATGTTTAGGAACTTGCCATAATGAGAAACGGCCCTTGAACCATCCACTTTGCTGCGTTTTGATCCATGTGAAGTCACTTTCCCCACTTAGCATATTCACACGATTTCATTGATTTTGCCTCCAATTCACACGCTTGAGCCTTACATCATGATCATCTATAAATAACGATCATCCTTCACTCATTTTCTCAAGCTTTGATAGATAATTGACCCCTGTTCAGATCCACATGAACTCTTGAATTTGAATTTATGATTTCTTGCATTCTCACTCTAAAACACCAAAAGCTCCATTCAGTTAACTTCATTAAACTTCTTTGAAGCTAACCATACTCTTACCTTCAAGAATTGTGACCTATATTGATCTAGAGAAGTCCAGTTTCAGGGCCACCTTTTGCTACTTCGTTCAGGTAGATTTCTTGGTCAAATTGATCCAAATAAAAGACTAATCTACTCTCTGCATCCTTCTGATTCTCATGCTTTTTATAATTTGCAATTTCACTGAGATTTAAGTGAGATATTCCAGAATTTCGTGCTCGTTATTATTTCTGCATTTTTTCAATTTAAGATTTGCTCAGTTTATATAAATTTGGCGCGATGGTACCATTAGAATCGTCTTGAAGAGATTAATCTAATGGTACTGATCTGGTCCTCTAATTTAACAATTTGAGGAATCCCAATCTAGGATGTCTGGAGATTGAAGACAACCTACGTGTCGTGCTTTAACCAATAAAAGCGTGACATGTGATTTTTTGAATTCAATTCGGTATGTTTGCTTTATCATACGCGCGCTTTGAGAGTCCTTGGATCTGATTACTTCTATTAGTCAAACTCCATCCAACACGCCGGAACTTTAGTTGTTTTTAAATATTAAAAGGTGATCCGGTGCAATTTCCAAAGCTGACCATGATATGCAAAGCGTGCCTGATTCTTTGGATCTGATTACTAGCGCGTTTTGACTCTCATCCAATGGTCCATATTTTTTTAAATTTATTTTTATTTTCCGTTTTTTACACCAAACTTCAAAAAATCATAGAAAATTCATTTCTGACTAAAAAATTATGAAAAAATTCCTAAAAATATTTTCAAATATCCTCTTTCTGGTTTTTATTTTTTCATATTTTTATTTTTAGATCTGATATTTTTTTATAATTTTTCCTTAATTTGACTTGTTTCTAATTGTTTAAAAATACTTTTTGATATTTTTAAATTCTAAAAAATTTTATAAAAATCATTTTCCTTATTTTTGACTTTCTGAAATTTTTTCTAGAATTTTATCTTGACTTCTACTATTTTGATCTTTTTTTCACTTATTTGAGTGATTTTAATTAGTTTAAAAATACTTTTATGTTTTAGAAAATTACCAAAAATTTAATAAAAATATTTGAGATCATTTCTGATTTTTCTATGGTCTCTTTAACTTTTTTTTATACTTTGAATGCAGTTTGATATTTTACCTTTTATTTTCATTTTAAAAATGTTTTAAAAATCATTTTTCCTTTTTATTTTATTCATTAAACACAATTTTTTTTTTATATATTCTGGCTATGTGTTTGTTGATCATGAACTTCATTAACATCATTGGATCTTGAGTGTTAAGTTTAACTCCACTAAAATGGATGGATCATTTTAATGATAGTTTGGTTAAACTTTTGGATTCAAATATACTCCCTCCCTATTCATCTTATCCTCTTCTCATTTTGTGCTACATGTTGTTAGTGGATGAACTATATATCATCACTTCAAACATATGGCACATAGATTGCTATTGGTCGACCTCAAAATAGGTGCAACTTCTATATAAGTTCACTTACGATTGCTTAACATAGTGTTTAATTTTGTCCCGATTCGAAAAATGATCATTCGTGGCCCAAACCTATGTTTGCAAGCCCAAGTATGTTTAATTTGAAACCTTTTATCTAATAAACTTAAGGTTCATCGTTAGGAGGCTTTGGTCTTATCAATCCTCTAATGAATCATCATAAGTTTTGTACTAAGTGAATCATCTAAACATCGTTGATCATTTGTTGTTGCCTCGAGAATTTGAAATGAATGATATACTTGACAAAAAGTAAATGAAACTTGTTGTTGAGAGGCTTTGATTTTATCAATCTTCTAATGAGTTTTCAAATGCAAGTTTCAAGATAGTCATTCAACTAACCTTTAATTTCTAACTAATTAACAATTGACTTTTATTTTTATGCTTTTACTTTATGTTTTTACTTTAAGCACCATTTATCTTAACATTTTTATTTCATGCTATTTTCATCTTTACTCACTTGAGCATTTATCTTTATGTCATTTTTATTTTGCTCACTTGAGCTTTTAATTTTCTTTTTGAAGATATCTAATAATCAACTTGAACTATAAAAAACTTTAATGTCACTTGGGCTATTTGGTTACTATCCTTGGCATTTTAGAGTTATGAACTTCTTGGACTTAGAATTAGAGACCTTAACCTACCTAGGGACCTTGTGACTTCTATTGCTATTTTGTTTGGAGTTCTTGGGGTTTACCCCGAGATGCTGGGTTGTTTGTTTTCTTTGCGCAGGTTATTCTGATTATATGTTTTGTCTGTGATCGAGAATTCATCTGTATACAACTGTTACTCTGCCCAATTTTTTATGAAGACTTAATACATTTGAAGCTTGGTTTTCTTAAAAGGTTTATTATCTTTGCTTGTTTGGTTTTAATCCAAAGGATGAGAATTCTATATTGACTCATTATGTCAAGTGTTGGCTTCTTGTTGGTTATTTTCCCTAACTTTTACCTTATGCTTTAGGATAGTCCTTTCATCTCCTCCCATCTTCTTTAATTTCAAAAATCTTCTCTCTCCTTTTCAAAACTATTCTTGTTTTCTAAACTTGAACCGCTTCCATAATAAACTTGAACTTAGGTCCATGCATTTTCAAAATATTTTTCTTAATCAAAATTTAAACAACTTAATAATACCTTGACATTTTTGTGAGAAGACTAAAAGTCAATCAATCTCATTCAAATCATTTTTTCCATTTTGGCTTTTATTTTAAAACTTTTCTCAAAATATTAGACTCTTGTCAACCCTTGTAGTGATACGAGCTACTATACTTCTATGATATGTAGTGAAGTGAGATATTTTCCACTTGAGTGTTGAGCGAAACTTTGTTGATTTTAAAATCCAAGCTATATCCTCCACTTTGAGATGACGCAAATTCTCCTTTCTCATAATCATGAGTAGTAAGTATGTTCTTCCACTCAGATACGACAATGATGTCTCATCTTTTAAAATTAACCAACACATTTGTGTTTTAAAATTTTTAAAGGTGAACTACGAGTACCCTGATCCCATATTGCATAAAAGATGGTACGTAGGCACTAAAGGTTTGCAATCGCGGCGGGTGCAAAAATTATAAAAAATATTTCTTTTCACATCTCCACCATCTATTTTTTATACAACACTTATAGCCAAAATACACAAATTTTCAAAGAGGCTCATTTGGAGTACCGTAGATGTTTAGGGTGCTAATATCTTCCCTTTGCATAATCAACTCCCGAACTTAGATTCTCTCCCCCTCCTTTTGGGTTATTCGCTTTTTTCCCATTCCTTTGGAAACAATAAAGCGCAATGACGATTTTTATTTGATTTGTGCGAGTTAAGTCAATCCAATAACTTAGTCTCAACATTTCTACCACTACAGGAGATATGTTGAGACTTTAGATATAATATCAAATATAATACAAGTTAGATATGTTGAAATATTATATATAATATTAAATATTATCCAAGTTGGTAAGTCCAAGATCAATTATGATTGTATATAAATAGTCATATTTTGTATCATTATTTATATAATTCAAGTGAATAATATAATATTTATTTCTTTATTATTCTCTCTTTCTCTCTTCATTAAAAGTATCTCACGCACTAACAAAACCCTCTTTGAATACTAACCTCCTCTGTCAGACTACCAATAACCAACACCGAAAAGCTACTCGAAAAAATGCAAGCTTTAACCCAAACTCACCATCTCTCATCAAACCCAGATCTCCTCATCATATAGTATAGAAAAGACCAACTAACAGAATCACACACCTTTTCAAAATCCACTTTAAACAATAATTACTCCCTCATAGACATTCTCGCAAGATCAACCACCTCGTTAAGGACCACTACTCCATCCAACAAAGTCTTCCTTTGATATAAAAGCAAATTGTTCTGAAGAACTGAGAGAATCCATGACCCTAACCAATCTAACAGCCCACACGACTTAAGAAAATAAAAGATAAGTACTGATCGAGAAAATGTAACAAATTTTTCATAGATCTTTCTTATTCTGTCATATTTATTGGTTTCCCACATACATTTTACCATTATTAAAAATTTGATACTCTAGATCATCACAATAGTAAGAAATTGCATATTCAAATCCACTTTTTAGCCTTGACAGAGATGCTATTAGCCTTCACTTAGAGGAGGAGGTGGAGGAGATATTTTGGGAAAGAAGTTGTGATTGCGAGGATCATCATCATCTATATAAAGTATGTGTCCATCTTTGAGATTTCCAAACATGCATGGCACAAGATGGTGAATGAATAAATAAATTAAATACACAATTCCAAAAAGAAAAAAAATATTAAATAACAAAAGTTTATTTTTTAATTAAAAAATCACAATTTGAAAGCCACTTGATAAAAATATTAAACAATAAAGATTAAATGTACAATTTTCTCTATAATATATGTGAGTTTTGATTAATTCCTTTTATCTTAACTTTTATGAATTATCTTATGTATTTTTAAATATTTTTAAGCGTGTAAAAATAAGAGAATAAAAAAAAATTATAGGTGTCAATAATGGCCATGAGAACACACCAGCAAGGTGAAGAAGCCATGAACATCCAAGAAAGGTTCATTGAACAAGATGAAAGAAAGAGTAAAGTGTTCTGTTATTCAATGAATCAAGTAGTTACAGATAAGAGAGTGTGAACTCTATATATACAACCAATGACCAGATGCCAGCAAGGTATAAAATACTAACTAACTAACAAAACTTATCTAAGCTGACTCATGTATATACATCAATAAAATAAGCTATATACAAATAGTATGCTAATACGCCCCCTCAAGTTGGACTGTGGAGACTACAAAGTCCCAACTTGAACATGATGGAGGAGAAGAGAGGATAATGTAAAGGTTTAGTAAAAGCATCAGCTAGTTGGTCTTTAGTAGAGACAGGAAGAAGGTGAATCAGTTTGGAGTTGATTTTCTCACGAACCACATGACAATCCAATTCTATGTGCTTGCTTCTTTCATGGAATGCTGGATTGTGTGCAAGGTATATGGCAGACTTGCTATCACAATAAACAGAAGCTGGTTGAGGTAGAAATATCATGAGGTCCTGTAACAAGAACTGAAGCCATTGCAACTCACAAGTTAGGGAAGCAAGAGCCCTATATTCAGCTTCAGTAGAGGATCTAGAAACAGTATTCTGCTTCTTTGATTTCCAACAGATGAGTGAGGATCCTAAGAGCACACAGAAACCAGTAACAGGTTTTCTAGAAGTGGGACATCTTGCCCAATCAGAATCTGCAAAGGCACACAATGTTAGAGAGCTTGAAGCTGAGAACAAGATACCTGTAGCAGGGGAAGATTTCAAAAAATTCAGTATCTTAAGAGCAGCTTGGTAGTGAGATGTACAAGGCTTTGAAATAAATTGACTCAAATGCTGGACAGCATAAGAGATGTCAGGCCTAGTATTGGTCAAGTAGATTAATCTACCAATTAACCTTCTGTACACAGTAGGATCAGCCAAGAGATCACTATCTTCAGGGGTAAGTTTGAGAGTAGGATCAATAGGAATGGCTGATGGTTTAGCAGCAAGAAACCCTGTATCTTCTAAAAGCTCAAGGGTATATTTCCTTTGATTCATAAAAATTCCTTTTGTTGATCTAGCTATTTCAAATCCAAGGAAATATCTCAGATTGCCTAGATCCCTGATTTTGAACTGTTTGTCAAGAAGAGCTTTGACATTATGGATTTCCATCAAAGAATTTCCAGCTACAACAATATCATCAACATAAACTAAGATAGTAGTGAAATGAGAGTTTTCAGATTTAGCATATAAAGAGTGATCTGCTTGTGATTGGACATAACCCAAAGACAGCAAAAAGGAGGAGAGTTTAGAATACCATTGCCTACTAGCTTGCTTTAGGCCATAAAGAGATTTTTGTAATCTGCAAACCTGAGAAGGATTAGAAGAAGAAATGCCAGGGGGGAGAGTCATGTATACCTCTTCTTGAAGATCACCATGAAGAAAAGCATTGTTGAAATCTAATTGTTCAACATGCCAACCTTTAATTGTTGCAATAGTCAAAAGAACTCTCACAGTAGTTATCTTAGCCACAGGGGAAAAAGTATCAAAAAAATCTATGCCCTCCATCTGAGTGTACCCCTTTGACACTAGCCTGGCCTTATACCTCTCAATTGTGCCATCTGCCTTATATTTAATCTTGTAGACCCACCTACAACCAATAGGAGTCTTCCCATGTGGAAGGTCAACTACAGTCCAAGTGTGATTTTGTTCAAGAGCAAGTAATTCTGCATTCATAGCTTGTTTCCAACATTCCAATTTTATGGCTTGGGCAAAGGTTTTGGGTTCAGACTTAGATGAGACATTGCAACAAAAGTGTTTATAGGAAGGAGAGCACTTGTCATAAGACAACACAGAAGATAGAGGATAGAGATTATGAGAGGTGTTATTTGAGAGAGTAGAATAGCAGTGATAGTCCTTCAAATAATGAGGAGGATTAGACTGCCTAGATGAATGTCTAGTGGAAATGTTATTAGAGGGAGGAACCTCAGAATGACTATTAGAGGAAGACAGCTCATGTTCAGAATGACTATTAGAAGAAGGAGACTCAGGAGGACCATGAGAATTGGGAGGACTGGAATGTAAAGGAATGGTATTAAGGATAGAGTCAGAATTGGTATGGGGGGTCCCATCATTGGAAACAGACTGATTGGAAATAGGGCTAGTACTGGGAGGACTAACAGGCTGGATGTTATGAAGAGTAGCAGACTCAGAATTTATAGGTTGAGATATCAAATCAGATGTGGACCTGTCAGTGGAAAAAGAAATATCAGTGGTACTAGGCTGGGAAGTAGGAAAGGATGTAGGTAAGGGATCATCTAAAATAGGAAAGGAGGGAATATGGTTGGATGGTTCAGATTGATTATGGCCAGGTGAAGCAAGTTTGTAAGGAAAAACATTTTCATAGAAAACCATATTTCTTGAAATGAAGAAATTGTGATTGGCTAAATCATATAGGATATAACCTTTTGTTCCTTCTTTGTAGCCAAGAAAAATAGCTTTTCTAGCCCTAGGGTTAAATTTTGTTCTATGAGCTTGAAGAGAGGTAGCATAAGAGAGGCATCCAAAAACTTTGAGATGCATCATGGAAGGTGGTTGTTTGAATAAGACTTCATAAGGACATTTGAATTTAAGAAGAGGGGTGGGAAGCCTGTTTATTAGATGGACAACATGTTGGATACAGAAATTCCACATGTTCAAAGGAACATTGGAGTGGAAGAAAATAGATCTAGCAACATTCAGAATGTGTTGGTGTTTCCTTTCCACCACACCATTCTGTTGAGGGGTCTCTACACATGTTCTTTGATGAAGGATACCCTTGGAAAGAAAAAAATCAGATAAAACAACAAATTCAGTCCCATTATCTGATCTTAGGCATTTTAAAGTGGTCTGAAATTGATTTTCTATGTAAGCTACAAAGTTAATGAGGCTAGATTTTGTTTGATCTTTGCTTTTGAGAAAAATGACCCATGTATGTCTGGTAAAGTCATCAACAAGTGTCAAAAAATATTTATGTCCTAAGGCAGAAACAGTAGAAAAAGGGCCCCACAAATCAGCATGTAAAATGTTAAAAGGAACAGTAGAATTAGATATGCTTTGTGGAAAAGGAAGCTTCTTTTGCTTAGCAAATTGGCAAGAATCACAAGGTACATTGTCATTATTACAAATGATGAATGGAAAAGCCTTAGCAATACTATGTAAACCTATCTTAGAGATGTGGCCTAATCTCATATGCCACAGATTACAAGAAGAATTATGAGAAATAGAAGAATTATTTACAAATGAATTGAAATCTGTAGAATCAAGAGTATAGAGCCCCCTGTGCAGCTTAGCTATACCAATCATTTCCTTGGAATGATTCTGCACAATAGTACAAGAATTATGAGTAAATTGGACAGTGAATTGGTTGTGCTTAACAAGTTTAGCCACAGAAATTAGGTTAACATGAAAGCTAGGGACATAAAGAACATTTTTCAGAATGAAGGAAGGTGAGATAGCTACTGTGCCAGAAATAGAAGCAAATATTTGAGATCCATTAGGCAGATTTACAAGTATGGGAACAATGTATTTATGATCAGTGAAGGAAGCAAAATTAAAAGAGAAATGATCAGTGGCCCCTGTATCCAGGATCCAAAGATCAGAGTGCTTACCATTCACATTGGAAGAAGTGGATTGCATAGCTAAAGGAGAGGTAGATACAAAATTGACAGTGGATGGTTGTTTGGAATGTTGAAGCAAAGCAAGAATGCTATCATACTGCTCTTTAGTAAATCCAAATGAAGAAGTAGCTGAGCCTTGAGAAGAAAATTCAGTGCCATTGCTGCCATTGCTCACATTTGCAGCAGATGAATTTGTGTGTGCACCACCCTGAGATTTACTCTTTCCTTTATAACTATTGTAACCTGGTGGATAACCATGCTTAAGAAAGCATGTCTCAATGGTATGATTTGTTCTCCCACAATGAACACAGACCCTATTAGTTCCCCTAGGTGTATTAGATCCTTGAGAGGCTTGAGGTTTGCCACGATAATTGTGGAAACCTCCTTGCTTAGCAGTGAAATTAGCCTCATGAGTTTGAGTTTGCAAGGCTGTAGCCTGCTCATTGGCAGCAATGGATGGGATAACACTAGATACTGAACTGTCAATTTCACGCTCCTGTTGAATAACTAGGGAAAAGGCTTTGTCTATGCTAGGAAGGGGATGCATCATCATTATCTGAGACTTAGAGTGAGCAAACTTTTCAGTTAAACCTTTCAGAAATCGTATGACATAATCCTGTTCCCTATACAATCTAATGGATGCAATGGCACCACAAGAACAGGCAATATCACAGCTACAAGATGGAATAGGTCTGTAATTCTCTAATTCGTCCCACATAACCTTCAATTGAGTAAAATAGTTTGAGACGTCAAGAGTACCTTGTTTGAATTTGTAGAGATCTTCTTGGATGTCAGAAATGCGGAAAATATCGCCTTGTGAAAACCTAATCTGCAAGTTCTTCCACACACCAGAGGCATTATCGATCCATAACACTGATTTAGCAATTTGCTCTGAAATCGATCGTTGAATCCACGCAAGAACCATCGTATTACATCGAATCCATGGTGAGTACAGAGGATCGGATACTGGTGGCTTGGGAAAAGTACCGTCGATGAACTTCTCCTTGTTCTTGGAGATCAGAGCGATCTGCATTGATCGCGCCCAGGTATGATAATTTTTGTCCGTGAGAAGAGGTGAAACAAGAACGAGTGAAGGATTCTCGTTCGGATGGAGATAAAACGGATTCGCAGAATTGGTAGTATAGTCGGCGTAGCTCTGGTTCGCCATGAATGAAAGGAAGAAGAAGAAACGTGATTCAAAGGAGAAAAGAGAAAAATGAAAGAAGAGAATCACGGAGAAGAAAGAATCGATGGCTACCAGAGCTATATAAGCTCTGATACCATGTCAATAATGGCCATGAGAACACACCAGCAAGGTGAAGAAGCCATGAACATCCAAGAAAGGTTCATTGAACAAGATGAAAAAAAGAGTAAAGTGTTCTGTTATTCAATGAATCAAGTAGTTACAGATAAGAGAGTGTGAACTCTATATATACAACCAATGACCAGATGCCAGCAAGATATAAAATACTAACTAACTAACAAAACTTATCTAAGCTGACTCATGTATATACATCAATAAAATAAGCTATATACAAATAGTATGCTAATAATAGGAATAATAGAGGCAAAAAATTTAATATTTTAAAATTTTAAGGAAATATTTCAAAAAATAATTTAAACGCAGATAAATCAAAACTCGTCTATATTACATGGAGACTTGTCCATTTAACCCAAACAATAAAATATGATTTCTTTATTCAAATTTGGTTTTTTTAATAAAAAACTATCTTAATTAAAAAATCAGTTGTTATATTTCAAAAAGATATACCATCTCTACTCCTAAATATAGAATTTTCTTTAAAAATAAAAAAAATGATATTGATATTAATTTGTTGGTAATTTTTTTTACAAATTCATATCTCAAAAAATATAAATGATTTATATTAATTTTTTATTATGTTTTAGATATATTTATCATATTTTTATTAAAGAAAAGTATGAATCATATCTATGAAATTGTATTTAAATATTTTAAAAAATAAAATAAAATTTCTAAGACTATTTTTTATTTAAAGATGGAGATAATATGACTTACATGTTTTGTGATGAGTCTCAGTTTTCCATAGTGGCCCCCTTGCTGCTCCTTTCATTGACAAGATAATCACAAACAGAAAAACTATATTCACTCTAACCTTCTCAGAAGAAGCCATCAAATCGGAAATATAATATAATCTAGCTACAATATATGTGTGGAGTGAACGAGAAATGTAATATAATCTAGCTATAATATATGTGTGGAGTGAAGGAGGATTGGATTGAAAAATATAAATATCTTGGTAAATGCTTCAAAGTCGTACAAAATTATTATTCTTGAAAATAATATCAATTCGATTTTAAATAATAAAAATAATTGATGTAATTATTAAAATTTTAAACTAAATATTCTAATTTAAATATTTTTTAAATTTTATTAATTTTTGCTTATATTTATAATCAGAATAAATATTTTCTTTTATCGCTGAAAAAGTTATTATTAAATATATTAACTAATTGATATATTTAATAATTTAATTAATAAAATTAAAAATAATTCTCTTTACCACAACTTTCAATACACCTCATATTTTATTGAATAAATATCTGGTGGATTTCAATATATTATATGAATTTTATATAAATTTTAATTAGTAAAAGAGCAAACGAAAATGTGTGTTAAAGAGTATTAATTTTCTTCAAATAATAGAATGGTGGGCAACCACCACAGTAGTAGGTGATCCTCAGAAGGCCACTCCTTTAGTCAACTATTATAAAAATCTCTAAAAATGACATATATTAAAAAGAGTTGTTCCCACAAACTTTCGCCGGTGTGAAAAAGGTCAAGGCTTATTTTTAATTCTATTGTCAAAAAGTCAATGAAAATCTTCTACGAAATCTTTTGATGTATGGTCTTCTATATGAAATGGGATTTATCTTCTCAAAGAAGCAATATACTCTTCTTTGGTTATACATATCATTATCTCAATTTCTTTCTCATAGTTTGGTATGTGTGTTTGAGATATGAGCAACGATTATAAAAATAACATGTGGGAGAAAAATACTAACTTACCTATTATTGTACAACATACGAGGAACATAAGGGAAAATTTGTAAAAGTTGATATTCCCTAACACTCAGGCAAATCATAAACTCTAGCAACAGTGGCGGAAGAACTAAGGAGCCGAAGGGTGCCACTGCACCCCTGAAAATTATAATTTTTCTTTTAATATACTTCTTATACGATACATAGTAGAAAGTTAGAGTAATCTGAATTGTTATCTTGTAAATTGTTTGGCATTTTGAAATGGAAGTAGAGAAAAACATTTATCAACTTTAAATTATGTATTCATGTTGTGGAATTTATGTTCTGAATTATGTTGTGACTTCGTTTTCTATGGTGATGGTTCGAGTGTGAGTAGTTAAATCCTTCGTCTGAGAATTTAGTGAAGCGTTATCTATGGTGATGGTAGAGATTTGGTGTACTCCGATTTTAAGGGTGAATCGATCCTATGATGGAGATCATGGAGTAAAATGAACCTATGTGTTTATGTTATGGTACCTCATGTATTGTGTCATTGTTGTTGCATTAACATCATGTGTGGCATTGCATGTGTTTGTTAATGAAATATGATGTGATGATACTTGTGATTGTTATGTGATCATGTGCGAATTTTGTGAGGAAGATGTTGTGTGAGCTATTTATGATGAATTAAGGTGTTAGTATATGTTATATTGATATTGTTGAATTGTAGACTATAATTGTGGAAGTTTACTTTTCTCTTATTCCTTTTAGAATTGATTATGATTACTCACCACTTCTATTTGAATGTTACCTCCACGTGGGTTATAACGTGCATATATCTAGGAGTAGCTTGAAGATGTACGGAAGATAGCTCTGTGATCGGTGGGAATAGAGAACTGACTGTTTTGGAATGCTGGTTCGCGTTTGCGTTTGTTTTCGCAAATGTCGCGGTAAGCAAGAGTCGCCACCGTCTTTTATTTTATCCAACAAGGAAAGGACAAAAGCACAGAAAAATTCCTTTTCGAGATATTTCTCGGGTTCGGGAAGTAGATTATAGAAAGGGAAGGTGTTAGCACCCTTTCTATCCGTGGTTATCCACGAGCTCTTAGGTACTTGCTCACTATGTTTTCAAAAGTTTTTCTTTTCTTTGTGATTGTGGGTTTTGAAAAGAGTTTTGTTTGAAACTTCGATTTAACTCTTGCTTTTGTCCTCAAGAGTGTAATGAAGTGTTTTGAAAACTTTGTTCGAAAAGTGTAAGTGTGAAAAGTTTTGTTTTGTTTTTAAAAGGAGCAAGTACTTAAGAACCTCTACCTACTCAAAAAGGAATTTAATTGTGCAAATGTCCTTTAGACAGTGCTATCCCACTATTGAGGAGTAGGTAGCACCGTCGTTGGAATTTTCGAGTCAATTCGATTTAAGGGACGTGTGGTCACTAAAGCAACGTTAGGACGTCTTAGTGGTAATCCTAATGTCTTAGATCATTTTTATCGAGGCAACCATTTCGAGGCAACTTTGATCTTTGGACAAAAGGACGACCTCTAAAACATCCTATACTTAATGATCACGTTCGAGGCAACCAAGTGAGGTGTACCATAAGGGTGGCATGTGCAAGTGTGTCAATTTTCAGTTATATTATCTTTACATGTCATGGTGAGCTACTATTGATTTTAAGTTAGGAGTTTAATCTTGTCATGCATAGCCTAGTTAGCATACATCTAAACAGTTAATATGTGTACAGGAATTTAAAGTGCGGGAATTGTAAATTCTACGCTATTACAAGGCTTCGGGGAGGGGGATTATTTACATGTCCAAAAATTGGGGGAATAAAAGCAGTAAAGTAAAAGTCTTAATTTAAGCTATTACAAACCAGTAGACAGTTATAATAAAATAAATGCGCGCGAATCTGAAAATAACCTCTAAAAAATCCTAAGAATAAATTTTTTTTGTTGTTTTATTTTATTTTGGGAAAATGATCTAAATCTATTTAATTTTAGTTTTGAGAAAATGTTAAGATAATTAAAAGATTAATTGACAAAGTTAATTTAATAAAAAAAACTAGCCTAATGTTTTTGTGTTTTTTTTTTATTTTAATGTTAATTAAAAAGATAAAAAGATGTCAATGAAAACAAAAATAAAATACAAAGGGGGGGATCCTTCGATCCAGGGAAAAAAAGGAGTTTCGACCCAGGGAGGGGATGGAAGCTTCGATCCAGAGAGGGTCATGGTCCTTTCGATTGGGCCAGACAGTAAGGCGTGAGTAGCCTTCGATCTAGGGAAGAGGATTGTCTTTTGATCATGGAGGTCATGGCTTTCGATCCAGGAATGAGATGCCTCTTTCGATCCAACATGTTAATGGGTTCGATCCAGAGAAGGTGTCTCCTTCGATCTGGAATGTTATACCTGCAAAAGTATGTTAGCAAAATAAAACACAGGGCCTGGGTATTGAACCCCAGGCCCTTCGATCCTGCGCTTGCTGGGTTTCTTCAGGCTATGTCTGCAGCAAGTGTTGGCAAACGAAGAACATGACCTGGGCGCCAAACCCAGGCCTTTCGATCCTGTCTAGGATGGCAAATCAAAGGTAACAACAAGTAATAATATGTTATGCAAATATGAGGTTGGATAGTTTACCCTCTCTTACCAGCAGATTGGACTTTTAATTTGGGCGCTTCCTGGATGTAGGCACCTTCGATCTGGGCACTTCCTGGATGTAGGCACTTTTGATTTGGGGCTTATGGGCGTTGTGATCTTTTGTTGAAGGGTTGCTTTAGCCTGGATCACCTCTGAAAATGTTGACAACTTTTGGCAGCGTAACTCCAATGTTTTTGTTCTCCTGTTGTGTTTTTTCGCGTGTTCTCCTACAGAGTTTTTGTGTGTTGGATATGTATGCTGGCCTCTGTATTTATAGGGGTGTGAGGGTGCAGTAATGGCAAGAGACAGCCATTAAACAGGCCATTAAATGCCATGAGACAAGAAACGGACACATTAAAAGTTTTCCTTTTTTGAAATATTCATGTCTCTTGAATGAACCTGGACACTTTTGATTTGAGTGCCCTCTTGATGACCTCCTTCGAATGGCCCTTGTCCAAAGATCAATCAAAGAGTACTAATTAAAATTCCAATCGAAAGGCTTTGTTAACAGGCCAATCGAAAGGTGATGTTTCATGCTAATCGAAGTGCTTGTTCAGAATACCAATCGAAGGGCCTTTCAGAATGCCAATTGAAGTGCTCCTTCAGAATACCAATCGAAGGGTCTTTCAGAATACCAATCAAAGTGCTTGTTCATAATGTCAATCGAAAGGCTCATTCAGAATACCAATCGAAGGGTCTTTCAGAATGCCAATCGAAGTGCTTGTCCATAATGCCAATCGAAAGGCTCATTCAGAATACCAATCGAAGGGTCTTTCAGAATGCCAATCGAAGTGCTCCTTCAGAATGCCAATCGAAATGCTCCTTCAGAATGTCAATCGAAGGGTCTTTCAGAATGCCAATCGAAAGACACTTAAAGCACCACTCAAAAATTTTCTTTTTCCTTAGGCAAGGGTTTGTGATCAACCATGCAGGGGGAAGACTTTGGAAAACATGAGAGGGCAAATTTTGGGGTGCAACAGTTGCCCCTGTTCAATTTTCTTAAACCTGAGGATATAGATTGGCTTTCAAGCCTTTCATGATCCGAAGGTGGAAGATAATTGAACACTAGAGTGCCCAGAAATTTGCACTCGCATGGTGTAGTATCAGCATTGTGACGTCCGGAATAGGCTTACAGATGTCATTTGGAGAGATGATGGATAGTTGTTGGAGATGGGCTTAAAGATGCCATCCAGAAATGATTGTTGGACTGTATTTGAATGAGTGACAGAATTACATCCGAATATGGATCGTATCTGGACTGTTATTTGAAGGTCTCTGATTGGCTATCATTAACTGGAAGAAATAAATCTAACCAGAGGAGGTCTTTAGTTGCCTGTTTTAACTGGAAGAAATAAATCTAACCAGAGAAGGTCTTTTCTGATAATGATGTGTGATGAAGGAATCTAAGACGATTGTTACTCCAAACAGATGATGAAGAAATCTTGGACGATTACTACCTCAGCAGGATGATGAAGGAATCTTGGACGATTACTACCTCAGCAGAATGATGAAGGAATCTTGGAC